TAAGGCAGCTACTCAGCTGCTCACAGTAGATTCCACCATGGAGTTGATTACCAGTCTCATCATGGGGAATACTACATCCAACTGCCCAGCCACTCAACAACCAGGCCCAGCCAAGTTAACACACAAACTGAACTACCACAGGTGTTGCAATGAGTCAGACAGATGACAGTAGGTTTTTTTTTTTTTTTTTTATGGTATAAAAAGTACTTCATCAACATTAATAAAATCCACAATCTCTGTCTTAAATTGTTGGTTTCATTATACATTTAAATTGGGTTTGTTGTGTTGTGTTGTGTTTTGTTTTAAATAATCTCAGGCTGTATTTCATTCATTTTGATGGTAGCTAAATACCATTATTAAATAAACACATGGGTTAAAGATTTTAAAACTGATACTTTTAAGAAATGTCAATAAAGGGCAAGCAGAAGAATTCAGTAAGTCTGTATCACATAATAGTCATAATTCAAGTTGAAATCTTAACAGCAATAACAATAATAGCAATTAATAATAACAATATTTATTCAGTGTTTACTACTGTGAGACAAAGAACTTGATTTGGCCTCTATCTTTGTTTTCTAAAGATAACCCTTAGAATCTCCTGAGCAATCAAGGTACCTTTATTATTATTTAAAACAACCAGGCAACACTTAAAAGGTGTGCAAATGAGTGAGGGCTACAAAGACCACACCTGGTCATCTCAACTCAAGAAAGGAGGAAGGTATAATTTAATCATGCATTTCATTTCTTCAACTGATTGTAACTATTTGATGAAGCCAATAAAAGGTTCTGAACATAGAAGACCAGGGGTTTCCTGGAATGGCCAGAGCATGCTTTCAGAAGGGTGGTGTGTCCTGCAGGACAAATCTGTCCTGGAAGCAGCACAGCTGGAATGCTCACTGGAACCAAGAATGTTCCAAATGCATCTCACCCACTTTGGTCATACCATCAGAAAAGACCATTCCCTTGAGAAGGCTATTACGCTTGGTAAAGGGGAGGTCTGCGAAAAAGGGGAAGACACTCAACAAGAATGGACTGTCACAGTGGCCACAATGATAGGCTCAAGGATATAGCAAGGATTGTGAAGATGGCACATGACCAGGCAGTGTTTCATTCTGTTGTACATGGGGTCACTATGAGACAGAGCCAATTCAAAGACACCTAACAAGAAGGTGCAACAATTGGTCTCTCCTTGTCCAGAGCAAAGAAGAGTAAAGAAAATCAAGGATACATGAAAACAATTGTTCCAAGGGACTAGTGGACCACATGAACCTCAGCCTTCTTGTCCTGAGGCCAGGAGAACTAATGGTACCCAGCTACCACTGCCAATCACTCTGAAAGGGATCACAACAGGAGATCCTGAATAGAGTGGAAGAAAAATGCAGGATAAAACTCAAAATCATAAAAACGACCTGGCTTAATGGTTTGGTAGAGACTGGCAGAATCTCCAAGATTAATGAACTTACCTCCATATGGCTCAACTTTCAGACAGACCTAACAGGAAAACAATTACGCCAGGGAGGTGTTCATTCCTTAGAACATTCAAACATAAGACATCAAAAGGGCAGCATGTGCCCAGGGATAAAGCTCAAAAGGCAGGAATGGACAGGAAAGAAGGACAAAGGGAAATGGTAACCACAGGGAAGAAGTAGGAAGAGTGCTGTTACATGGTAGGGACTATAATCAATGTCACAAAAAAATGTGTATAAACTGTTAGATAGAAAACCAATTTACTCTGTAAACTTTCACCCAAATCACAGTAAAATGTTAAAAAAAAATTGAAAACAGAAATTTTATGTCAAGCATTACAGTAATTTGATAAAACAAAACTGAAAAATATATCAGAGGCTATAATAAGTGGTTATAAAAGAGGGAGAAATCTTAATGGTTCCACTACTACATCTTTAAAAATGGCATATATATTTGAGTTTATCATAAACATAACTGATGAAATTGAAATGAGTATCACCTAGGGAGAGAACAATTATGTAAATCAACCTGCATGGGCTAAATAAATTTCTACCATCTGGACAGAGTATCAAGAAACAGATGATACACTCATAAGAAGCTATACTTGTCTTCTAGAAGCTTACTTTTCTTAGATTTTGAAATAAATGAGTTTATAAAATAAAGGAAAACAGTATAAATAAAAGAGAAAGAAATACTGTTTGAATACTACTTCATATAATCTAGATATTTAAAAAGGTTGAAATGCTCAATTTTGTTTGAAATTGCTTTTTCTCTAGGCTATGGCACATGTTGAAAATATTAAGCTTTATACACCTGTATTTGAACCAGTCACTCAAAGCTTTTCAGTACTAATAAAATGGTTGGCATTCAATTTCAACAATATAAAGAAAAAGCCTTTGCTTTAATACTATTTTCCTTGAATCAACTTAAAGCATCCAACATACATCATCTAATTCAGTAAGAACTTGTTCTTTATAATGGCTCTCATTGATGCTGGGATGGAAAATTTGCAGTGATTTAAAGAAACTATTAATTCAATTTGACAACAGTAATCCAACAAAATTTAGTTTCAGACCATGTGACTTGCATTTGGAGAGTTAATGTTGTGAATCTTGTTCTTAACCAACTTTAGATTACCGTCTCTCTATTTTCCTTTTGATGGAAAAGAATTGCTTCTAAAAGTAAAAACCCACTGCTACTGAGTTGATTCCAACTCATAGCAACCCTATAGGACAGAGCAGAACTGCCCCATAGGGTTTCCAAGGCTGCAAATGATGCAAGCAGAATGCCTCAGCTTTTTCCCCACAGAAGGGCAGGTGGTTTCAAAGCGCTGACCTTTTGGTTAGCAACACAATGCTTTACCCACAGCACCTCCAGGGCTCCTTTCTAAAAGTAAAGAAGCAGAAAAATCTTCTTAATCTATTCTAAGGGAACTCTATTTCTGAATTGTAAATCTTTATTAAAATTATGTAACTGTCAGATGATATTAGATATCATTGAATAGTACTTACCAATACATACATCGATTTTCCCTTTAATAGCAGCTTCATGCAGAGGGGTATAGTTCCAGTTATCCCTGGCATTTGGATCAGCTCCTTGGCATAGTAACAGACTTACAACCTCAGCATGACCAAAAGAACAGGCATTATGAAGCGGTATAAGACCTCCATCATCACGAGCATGAACATTAGCACCCATCTGTAGTAAGTGTTCTACAACATCCTTCCTCCCAAAACCTGAAAAGAAAGAAGAAAATGTCTTATACATTGTAAATTTTTTAAAAAGATCATTAGAATTCCTTTAGCAAATATGAACAATTCAAGTATATATATGCATATTATAGCAAAAAGAATTTTTAAAAAATGGCTACCACTCAAACTGATTCTCTCATCTCACAGAACACAGAACTAAGAAAGTTCCTCCTTCATTCTTTAGACAGTTCATTTAAAAAAAAAATCTTAAATACCTATTATGTGCTGGAAAACTGCGTTACAAATACAAAAAGAATAAGACATCTATTCAAAGCACTCGTTTTCCCCTCATGCTTCACAAGACAATACTGTATGTACAAAACTCATCACAATACTTTAAGGTATAAAGGTTATTTAAATACTGTTGGCTAATGAATTTAAGACAAATCACAACATTAAACATTACACTAGAGAAAATGGAGAGGAATATATACATACCAGAAATACATGGTAACAGTTTGGTTACAGGGGATTTTAAAAAGGAAGAATTAAAGATGATGGGAAAACATCTACTCCAGGAAATGATGGCTAGATAAAATGAAGTGGGTAGTTAAGAAGTGAACAATTCAAGCTTGGAATCATTGAATTTGAGGAAACAGTATGAAGAACAAGCAGAAATACATGCATTCAGAAGTACAGAATCAGAATATTGGTAATAAGCACCAGTTTTTAGACAAAAAAAAGAAGAAAAAGATCTAAAGCAGCGTGAGGACTAGGCAGATAGTTAAAAAGGTAAGTACATTATTAAAGTCAAGGCAAGTTTCAAAATAGGTGGTCAACACAATTATGCAGAGAAGTCCAGCGTTATGAGGATTTAGCAAGATCAATGGAGAGTGTAAAATGGCCTTGATAAGTAGTATTAGTGTAGCAATGGGAGCTCTGGTAGCGTAGTGGCTAAGGCACTTGACTGCTAACCAGAAGGCTGGCAGTTCAAACCCACCAGCCACTCCTCAGAAGGAAGATGGGACAATCTACTTCCGTAGTGATACCACCTTGGAAACCCAAGGAGGGGTCGCTATGAGTTGGGTCTGACTCAACAGCACATAACGACAACAACAACAACAGTGTAGCAATGAAATTATAAGCTAGATTATAATGGTTTAAAAGGAAACTGCAAATATTATTAGCATTTTTATATCACTACATCTTACTGGCTGTTTGTCTCTACCACCATGCTATTACCTTCTGTGAAATATTGTTAGAAAATGATACCTTAAATAAAACTAAAAGGCAGTAAAAGAGTCAACACTTCCTCCATAAACTAAATAGATGAGAACTAAGAGGAAAGAAGTGGAAAAAAAAAATAGAATTATTTCAAGATATGTCCACCAGGCTATCAATAGAAATTTATGCATTCCAGGAAAGCAGGCACTAAGAAAAAGTCTCCAAACATACATACATATTTCTATGGATATGTAGCATAAGATCAGAATTAGGTTTCCTTGAGAAATATCCTTCAAATTAAGCTAAATATTTTGGATGAAAAAGAGGTAAATTTTGTACTCGAACTCAAAAACTCACTGCAGTCTAGTTGGAGCCAACTCATAGCAACCCCTCCCTGGTTTTCCGAGGAGGAAGTAGATTGCCCAACCTTCCTTCTGAGGAGTGGCTGGTGGGTTTGAACCGCCAGCCTTCTGGTTAGCAGTCAAATGCCTTAGGCACTATGCCACCAGAGCTCCCAATTCTGCATTAGGAACAGGAAAAGTACAGGGTATGTGCTAAAGTAATTATCACCATCTTACTAGTTTGGGGTTGGTTGGTTTGTTTCCTTTTAAATACCTGCAGAACTTTATAGTTATTAGTTTATTTTGAATTCTCTAACTTCAAAGTCCTTCCTTCTACCATCACACAGCTCCCACTAGGCCACAGGTACTTTCCTTATCCAGGAAGATTTCATGATTCTCTTCTTCCCTATGAAAGTGAGTACAAGCTCACATTTCCCTAATTAGTGTGCTAACAATAACAATGCTTGAGAACTACTTTTCTTTCTTCATTAATAAAGTTAACATACGACACTTTTTAATTTATCACATGCCATTTTTAAAATATCCATTATAATAAATATAAAGCAAAACAGAAAAGTGTTTATCTTATAAAATAAATAAAAAGAACTAGCTGGTTCACTGAAGTCCACACTATGTCAAGGTCCACCAGCATATGATGTAATCATATGAGGAACATGTGAACAAAACAAGGAAAAAACTACAAAAATAAAGTAACCCATGTGATATTATTACAGATGACTTAGTTTTCCCTTATAAATCTGCCTGTGCCCTTTATAAGGAGCTCTGACAGTGCAGTGGTTAAAGCATTTGGCTGCTAACCAAAAGGTTGGTGGTTTGAACCCAAGAGCCATTCCACAGAAGAAGTATGAGGCAGTCTGCTTGCATAAAGATTTACAGTCTTAGAAACCCTATGGGGGCCGCTATGAGTCAGAATAGACTTGATGACAGTGAGATTGTGGGGTTTTGTTGTTGTCTTTTGGTGTATTTTATATATTCTTTGCAATAATAAAAACAGATGCCTTAGATCCCAACTTGCCTCTTTGGGAACTATTACCATTCCAATTTATGTTCTATCTATATACATTTTCACAAAATTATTATTAATTTTTTATCAAAATCTTTGATCTAAAGTATAAATAAAACAAAAGGTTCAGCATTAATTAGAATGTAGTGAAATGAAAACTGTGTTCACACATTAACAATGTGAGTATAAATTAGTACATTCTAGAAAAAATGCAGTTAACATCTATAGCTTTAAACAAATATACCTTCTGACTCAATAATATCACGTTCCAAAGTTTACCTTAAAAAGTATTAATATATGAGCAGATTTTATATCAAGAATATTTATCATAGCATTATTTATAATAGAAAATCATGAAAACAATTTAGTGCCCTCAACAATAGGGATTCTATTAAATAAATTACAGCATGCCCATATCATCCTGTATTAAAAAAGGATGTTATGTTATACAAAATTTAACACTATGAAAAGGTGTTTTCGGTTTTAAAATAAATACAAGTACAGGGGAAAATATAATATTTTCTTATTTAAAATATAAATGGATAGAAAAAAGATGAAGTCATCAAGTAGTAAGATTATGAAATATTTTTCCTGCTTTCTTATCATACAAAAACACTATTTTGTATAAAATATATGTGTGCATGTGTGCATATCTGTTGATAAAAGGAGATGAGGGTAGCAGCCAAACTTAGCTAAGAGATTAATTTTGATGATGGTTAAAAAGAGATTTCTATGGACATTTAAGAGGGCATCTTTTCTAATTTGATTTTGAATTATTGAAATACATTAGAGGTTTTACTGCCCACAAATTAGTTCCCTATTTAAGTACTATAAGTTAGAAAATTATACACAAGGTTTATTTAAAACATACATTCTACCTGATCTACTAAGTATGAATCATAATTGGTTATTCACCATTCTATCACTGCTAAATGCTTATGGAATTCCCACAGGTAATTTGCCCATTTGGTTCCAAGGAACCAAAATAAAAATATTAATTAGGGGAAATTAGAAGAACCAAGAAGTAAACAGAATTTGAAAGGTAATTTATCACTAAACTGACTCTCAGGGAAATATTCCCTATTGAAGAATTACAGCCACATACTGCAGACACACTTTTCAGTGACCATTCCACCAAGTTGGCACATCTAGAAAAATAGTGGAGTCACAATTTTTTTAAAGTATGTATATTTTACCTACATACATACACACATATTTACAGCTCAGTATTGTAAAGCACAAAGGAGAAACCAATGCACCTTCTCTCTCTGATCAAGCAAAGGTTACCAAAAATTAAGACAGAATACTACTTCAATTTTTACCAACATAGAATATGTGTTAACAGACTTCCAATTTAAGAGTGCTAAGAAAGGTCTAATTTAACTTTTATGCAAAAATTATTTTTGTTCAAGTAACACTATATGCCCTATTCTTGACCAATAATAATAATAATAATAATAATAAATAATGGTAAGAAGCTGTGGTACAGTGAATTTCTTGGTATGACCCTTCTAGCCATGGTCTTTGTGACTCCCACTACATGACTGGGTGGGACTCCACAAATGCGAGGTGCCTGCAAAGGAGATTGGACAGCTTGCTAATGATGTAAATAAGGTACATGGCACCTTTGTGGGGGTGGGACTGTGCAAATAAGGTGTATGGATCCCTAACTTGGGGATTGGTCAGTTTTGCCATACCACTAGGACTAAAATGGGTCATCTCAGAGGTGGAATGGGGGCATCTCACTACAATAAGGAGAAAGGAGCCAGGAGTGGAGCACATCCTTGGACTCATGATCTTTGAGCTGAACGTCTTCAACCCAGGAGAAAGAAAGAAAGCTGCAACACTGTGATGGCGAGAAGCAGCAGCAGAGAAACAGTGGCAGAAGACTCAGTAGGAGACAACATAGTGGGCTTCCAGACCTACAGAGCAAGAAAGTCGAGCACCATATGGCCAGGGCATTTGGTACAGTGGGGTGCTTCCAGGTACTAACTAGCAGAGTGAAAGAACTTCTTAACACTTGTCCAAGCAGGTCAGAGGCCAAACGGCCACGGAGCTGAGAGATCAAAAGCCAGAGAAGCACTGTTGAGGAGAGACTATCCTCAACAAAGAACTGTATCCTAAGTTGTTCCTGACACTGAACTGTAACCTGTTTTAAAAAAAAAAAAAAAAAAAAACCACTGCCATCAAGTCAATTATGACACACAATGCCCTCCACTGAGTTTCCAAGGTGGTAAATCTTTACAGAAGTAGATTGCCCAGTCTTGCTTCCATGGGGTGGCTGGTGGGTTTGAACCACCAACCTTCTGGTTAGCAGTCAGATGCCTTAGTCACTGTGCTACCAGAGCTTTACTTCCCTAATAAATAATCAGGAGTACTGTATAGCCATTACAATTAACTACTGAACTCAGCAGAGAAGGGAGTATCATGGAAAAGAGGGATGGTGTCAGAATTGGTTTCCAAAAAAAACAGTAGAGAATGGAGGCATGTGTCTGACCTCTGCCTTATAGGAAACAGCCTCGGGCTGCTGATATTGATCTTGGCCCTCCTTCCCCCTTGTGAAGTTAGAGGAGGCCAGATGCTACACCCACACCATTTTTGCAGTTGGTGTCAGAAATGGGATTTAGGGCAATGAAATTCCAGACTCATGGAGGCATGGGACTTTGTAAGAAAAAGAAGGAAGGGGCAAGGAAAGTGAAACTTTGATTCTTAGATGGTCACTTTGGTTGTTGTTACCTGTAATGGCTGATGTTATGCTGCAGCTGAGGGGCGAAAAGTCAAATCTAGACAAATCTAGGCAAAAGCCAGGACAACTAAACAAGATGACTAATAGGGAGCCAGCGTCCACTGGTTCCATCCAGCCAGAGGCCCAGGACTACATGTACATAAGTGGGAAGAGAGTCAAGGGGTAAAGAAGAGAAAATGAAACTGGAACATTTTAAAAAGGGTTATGTGTTCATTTGAATGTACTCTGGATATTCAATGTTTCTACTACTTAGTGCTGTAAAGCAGATCAAAATGTATGTTATAAGGGAATACTAGGCGTCATGGATTACAGAGCATGTAACTTCACCTTCAGCTAATACTTGATTGGGTATTTTAAAAGGGGAAATATGATTTGCCAGGAAGAAATACAGGCATTTCGTTTCAAGCCAGAATCCCTATGTACCATTGGGGTTTTAGGACAAAATCCTGAGCCTCACCTAGGAAATAAGCATTTGAGAGGACAGGAAAAGTTAGGCATTGAGAAGAATCCTTTTCTAGGACTGGAAGTTAAAGGAAGCCACTGAGTAAACAGGTTGGTATGCTTGCTTGTAATAATCACCTGGGTACCTGGGTCCACTTGATGAGTGGAAGTGGGAGTTGTACAGCAGTGAAGAGATAGGCTGAGATTGGACATGTTCCATTGGCACCTATGGTCTGAAGTACAGAGAGGTGTGTAAACTCCCAAGCATATAGCTGGTACCCACTAACCTAGCTGGTATGGCTGGAGATGAGCTGACCAGAACCCGATAGAAGAGAAATATGTTTGACCCACTCCACACACAAAAAAAACCAAACTCACTGCTGTGGAGTCAGATCCGACTCACAGCAACCCCTCCTTGGGTTTCTGAAGCAGTAGCACTACAGAAGTAGATTGCCCAACCTTCCTTCCAAGGAGTGGCTGGTGGGTTTGAACCGCCAGCCTTCTGGTTAGCAGTCAAATGCCTTAGGCACTATGCTAACAGAACTCCCTGCTGTTTGATGGCTTGTTCTGGGCTGGACATTGCTTACATATGGAGATGCTCAAAGTTCCAACCAAAACAGAAGGTTCTTTAGAAAAAGGAACATGTTTGTCTCAGAGTACTATTTGACAGGGATGAGCAATTTAGAAATTGGCTATCTAAAATCAGGGGAGATAAAGTCATGAACTGGTAGTCACTTATATACTCTCATGATGTGGTTACACTGAAAATGATTGGGAAGGGGAAGATAATCTTTCAAGTATGAAAGGGCCAACAGCTAGAAGAGCCAAAGGGTAGCCTGAGCCAAAGGGGAGCCTTCAGTGCAATGAAGTGCTTGGTACAGTTCTTTTAGACATTGTCTTTGTGACTCTCACCATATGATTGGGTGGGACTATACAAATATGAGATGCTTGTGGCCCACCAAGGGGACTGGATAGCATGCTAATAATGTAAAGTAAATGGCACCCCCAGTGGGGGTAGGACTGTGCAAATAAGGTGTATGGAACCCTAACATGGGGATTGGTCAGTTTTCCCATCTCACTAGGCTTAAATGAACCATCCCAGAGGCAGAAAGTGGGGACCTCACTACTATGAAGAGAGGAGCCAGGAGTAGAGCACGTCCTTGGACCTGGCACCAAACCTCCTCAACCCAGGAAA